ATAAATAATTTAGTAATTCAATGAGAAAAATATTTATATTTGAATGTTATAGAAATATATGAAAATATAAAAATGAATAAAATATCAGGTCTCTAATTGGTGCTATGTTCAGATTATTTGTTAGAATTCCATCAATTTTTTCTTGTACGCTAATATCAATAATTATTTATTGCCGAAGTAATGAAAATATCAGAATAGAAATAAATTTGTATAACGCTGATAAAAAAAAGTAAAAATTTCAATGAAATTTCATTATCGTTCCAAATCAGTTTGGATGAACATTTCGGGAGATATCGGATGCCAATCGCCATTGTTTCCATTATCTCTTCCAAATCGCAGAAAATCCTGCTTAAAAAATAAAAACGAAAGATGACGATTGATTGATGAAAAAATTAAAGAAAAATTTTTCTTATAAATGACAGGAAATTGTTTTTAAATTTAATTTCAAAGTATTGAGGTGCCTTTAAGTGCAATTTAAATATTAACCAACGGATGACAATTAATTTCCTTTTGCGTTGAGCTTTAGATTATGAATTTTTTCATATGGAACATTTATTTCTTCCGCAAAATAATCATATTCATTCATTTAGTTTGCTCATTTTATTTTATGTATATAATTTTAATATTTATTGGTTTGAAATTTTTCACATATATTTTTTGGGAACATTTTAAATTGGCGAACAAAGTAATGACAGTTTCGAACGGTGGAAATTTCATTTTAACTTTTGCATTATTTTGATTAAGTGGAACAACTTTAAATATTAAATGCTAGTATTTTTATTTCAATGATGATTATCAAATTATTTATTGCGTTCTGTAATTAAATTAGTTCCTTATTGTAATTTTAGGATTACTGATTAATAATTACGGCAATACATATTTAGACTATTACTTTATTAACCAATTTAAAATATGCTAACGTTTGATCCAATCCTGAGCGTTATATTTGTTCAGTAATTCGCTATTACTTATTTTTCTCATTTATTTATTTAATTGATAACTTTAATTGATGGTTATTAAAGTGTTTGGAGCAGATTAATTTTCAAATTTATGCAAATAACTTACCCTGCCCGCATTAGCTCGAATGATACTGTCCAATGCAGCTTTACGTGAGCGAAATAGCGCACCGCGTAACGTCGTCGATGCAGTGAACATCAGGAAAAAAACTTTAGAAGAGAATAGGTTAAACATTTTATTTAAGTAAATAAGAGAAGTCATATTTATTTTACAATAAAAATATTAGCTTACAATTTAAAAAATTTCATCATTACCTTTGATATAACGGCATCATAAATCTAATTAAAATTTAAAAAATATAATTCATTCACTAATATTTTTGAATCCTAAATTTTCGTACTTTCATTCATTATTGATTTGGATTTGGATGCTAAGCTAATATTAACATTATGCAAATTTCTTTTTTCAAAAGTAAACTTACGAATGAATGAAAGCAAAATTTTCATGGTAAGAAGAACGATGAATTGAGGAGAAAATGTTAAGTAGAGGAAGAAATCGCTTTATATATGATTAAAATTTTTTAATAAATCTTACCAATAAATTTTAATCTTCTTTTATTAGCTGATTTTAATTTTTGATAAATTATTCAAATTGTATCCATCATTTCAGGTGTAATTAAAAATTCGATAATTTATATGGAAGCAAAAATGTAATATTAAAACATTAAATAAATTGCACTTTTTGAAAGAACGAGAAAAACCATCAAATATTGTCATTTCATATACACTTCTCCTTCTGTCCCATATGATTTTAATGTATGAATGAGAAATTTTGAAGAAAACTGTGATAAATTTAATTCTTTAATTTTAAAATATCGGCCAATCAACATTTGCAAATTTTTCAATGAAGAAACGATAGAAAATATAAGGGAATGATTTAAATTTGATCGATGAAAATATCTATTTTGTAAATTTAAAATACCATTTCAAATGTGTACTTACTGCAAATTACAGTAAACATATTTTAAAGTTATGAAATAATAATTTTCCAGTCCTCAACAAAATATCAATATAATGCTAATATTTGAATTTTACGTTTCTTTAAATTAATCAAACGTGATGAATTAATATAATAATTTACGCACATATAATTGGTAGAGAAAAAAACGAAAGATGAAAAATGACTGAATCGTTATCATTTTAAAAAGAATTAATTAATATGCAAAAATATTCATTAATGCACTTCTGATGCAATCACGATTTCATATTTCCAAACAAAAAAAAAACGAAAAAAATGCTGAATCTCTGTGAGAATTTTGATTCTATTAAACACTCATATTTCCAACAAATATATTTAAAAAAAAAAAAATTATTTGAATTAAACCGCGCATATCACTTCAGAGTGTTAAATATTCTACTCCTTTTCTATACCTATGAAGTAATACTTTTTTGAGTTCTATGTATAATATATGTTATTCTTTTTCCTATTTTACTTTATTTCATCCTAATAAATTTTATTTAAAACAAAATAGCAAGAGAGAAAAAGAGGGAGAAGAAAAAAAAAAGCAAAGCAGAGGACGAATGGAACAAAAACTGTAATTTATATTTAATTTGATTTTTTAAGTAATAGAAAGAATGAAAGAAAGAAGATAAGTGTAAAAAGAAATGTTGTGATTTGTTTTTGTTATTTCTTTGATGGTACTAACTAATAATTACTATTCGGTTAATTACTGTAAATTTAAATGTACATATAAGTATAAATGTGTAATGTTTTTTTTTTTTTTTATTATTTTAGTTTTCATTTTCCCTCTCTCTTTTTACTTTTTTTTTGTCCATCACACAATTTCTTTTTTTCACTGGAAATTCTTTCTTTTAATTTGTAATGTTTCATACAGTTTAACACAGAAAGAAAGAGAGAGAGAGAGAGAGAGAGAATTTCGGTGATTTGTTGAAATGATATAAATTCGTGATCAAACAACGACCGGAATTATTCATTTATAGCATATTATCCCATTCCATCCCGAGTAATTACTATCATTTCCTTCCATTTCATCTTCTTTCCTTTTTGTTTTTCATAAACTTTCATTTCAAATTTTACACACAAGATTAAATCTTGAAATTAAATATTTTATTAAATAATTAATTAATTCATAGGGCACGCAGTGAATATACGTTTTTTTTTTTGCCTTTTTCAATTTTTACTCCTTTCTTTCATTGTTTTTTTTTTTAAATTGATCCTATTCAATTTTTATCTGTATGAAATTAAATTGCAAATTGATACAGCAAATTTTAGGTATGAAATTGAATTAAAATTTTTTACAATTTTTATATTTTTTCCAAAATTTTCTCTCTATCAATAATAATTATTTCATTTCTTTTACTAACCATCCATTTTCCATCATTGTTATTTATTGGTAGGTAAAAAAAACAACAAAAAAGTTTCCTTCGTACTTCTATAACATCACTTGAAAAAATACGCCAATTAAATGGTAAGTCCTTTTTTTTTTCTTCTGAATGAAAGCGGAAACAAAGAAATTGTTCAGCTAAGTTGCTAAACCGTAAATGCTCCTAATGTTTTTAATAATAATCTATGAGTATTTTCGGTTTCGCATCCTGGCAAGAACGAATAAAATGCGAGAATTGAATTATCAAATATTCGAATAGCATTTATTGTAAATTAATTTTCATCCTAAAAGTAATTTTTTTTTTCGCTTATATTTAATGCATTCAATCTGATATTGGTTTATTCTGTAATTGATGAAGCTATTTCAAATAGGAATTTCTCTATCTAATAAGACTCGATTGGTATTTTACAAAAGGCATACGAGAATTCATTAAATCAGATCCTCCTCATATCATTCCTATCACCACAAGATGACAGTGCATTTTCGTGTGATAGATATGTGATAGGTACATATTTTTCATTTGTATTTTTTTCCGCTATTTGAATTGTGAAATATTTCAAATTTTCAATACCAATATTGCGAAAATAAACTGGTTTCATGTCAAAGAATTTATTGATGAATATGTAAAGTTCGACAAATAAAGAAGCAATCGAATAATATCAATAGTCCTAGGACCCGTTTACAAAAAAAAAAAAATCATCATAAATCAAAATGGTAACACTTTTAAGAAAATATTTAAAAAATTCTACTTGAAACATAATTAATAAATGGAAAGACAAATTTCAAACATTGGTGAAATTTTTATTACATTATGATAAAAAGGCAAGCTTTCTGAAATCCTGACCGATTAATTCGTTTAAATGTCAAAATCGATTCCGATATCCCACGGTAAATGGTCCAATCTGCACGGCAAAATATTTAATATCTTTGTAAAATTAACTACTAATTTCATTCATTGTCTAAATTAATCATCCACACCTCAACTAGTAATGTTAATCTTTCCTCACATCAGCTATTACTGATACGTCACAATGAAAGTATCAACTTTTTCTTCTGCCATTATAATAGTTACGCTAGTTAAACCACTTAATCGATTATCACAAATTGCAACTTAAAAGTTACAAATGATCAAAACAAGAAAGAAAGCCTAGCAAAAACAAAAGCGAATAATAAGAGAGAAATACATTGGTATGTATTTCTCCTAATGTTTACATTTCAGATTATTAATTTATTTGGCAATATAATCAGAAATATGCAATATGAAAGATGAAATTATATCACAAACTATTTTTCAATAACATCAAAATACTCGGTAAACTCTCACATCACTACTTTGAAAAAAGTAATGAGTTCTGATAATCGAATTATCAAACAAATGACTCATTAAATAATGACTCAGAGAGCTATATAGGTGCTAAAACTTCACAAATTGATATGAGTAGAAAAATGAATGCTCTAAAAAGTGGATACCCATATAAAGCATTTAACAAACTACAATTTATTACAGCATTGATTCTTTTCATCACCAAAAAGATCACAGACAGAAAAACTGCTACTTAAGAACTTTTTGTAATAAACTGAGAAATATGTCGGATATCCACTTCCTCTTCATTATATATAGCACAGGAAGATGAATAATTTATTTATCGGGTTCTAAAGAGTTGAGAATTTCATCGTATCGTCGATTCCTTTCTTCCATGCACCTGAATGCATCATCCAGATCTTTGGTGAAATCTTCCAATCGCTTCTCCAAGTGCTCCAAATTTTTGCACTGAAATTACATGTCAAAATTAAAATTAAACCAAAAAATTCAATAAAAATTTATCAAAAAAACAAAATCAAAACCTCTCATTACAAAAATTTTCATATATTTTCCAAGAACTTTATTCGAAGATTTGAATTTCAAAATGAACGAACATAACACTGGAGAAAACTATAGCTTCAAAAAACCTATTATGTATTCTCTGACGGGTTTTCTGATGTACTCAACTAATCTTAATCAAGAATCCAAGACATTTAATTAGCAATTGAGTCTATGAACTGGATGTGGTTATCAAATAAAAAAGACTAGTTGGTTGGAAACATCCAGGGATGCTAAAGCAATAAATATCACGCAGATATGTATATTTTGATAACTCCAAATGTCGATGTACAAAACTTTATTTCAAACTTACTTCTCTTTTTCTTGGAAGATGATATGTTTTATTTTGCACGTTGAATTCGTCTATTTTCTCACTATTTTTTTGTTGACTCAAACTGCACGTCCCGCTATCCAAGTTTCCATTATATCCAGGCCAATTATTATTCATCATCCATCTTCCTCCATAGTCGATACGTTGTATATTTCGTTCAGCTATCTCTACTCCTGTAAAAAGAAAAATCAATATATAGAATCGGAAAACTCTGAATGAAAAAAGTGCAAAATTTTCATATATTTTCCCAGGACTTCATTTCAAGTTTCGGATTTCAAAATAAATCAACATAATATTGAAGGAAACTATAAGTTCAAAAAGAGAAATCCCAATTTTTGGGACAGGGAAAGAAAAAAAACATGAGAGAGGAGGATAGAGTAAGGAAAGTATATCGCAGTCGTCTTTTACTACAAATTTCATAAAAACTTGGATGCAGCGTAAGACAATAAGAAAAAAAAGAGGTGTAGGATTGAAAATAATAGCATTTAAATATTAAATAGTTTCTCAAAATTTGCTAATTTTTAATATTTTTTCAAAATTCAACCTTTCTCAAGTGTTTTTTTATCGAAACAGTCTAATAATATTGATGATCGTTGAGAGAGTGATTCACACCAAGACAACTGTCGCTCATCCTCTAAATCTAAAATTTAAATTACAAACATAAATTACGCATCAAAAAAGCCTTAAAAGCATACTACTTTTTTTACATGACTGAAATACCGCAATGCATTAAATTATGATAATGGAATGCCCTACGATTAAATAATGTGTTCTAGAATCTTTCGCAGCTATCAGTATGTATGAAATGCATAAAAATAGATATCGACTGAAATTCAAGTTATAAAATAATTTCTGAAAGTCTGAAGCGCCCCGATGTCATTTGAAATGTTACTGCATTTCATGCACATTAAATGTCATTTGAAATGCTACTGCTTTTCATTATCAATAATTTTTATTCTTATCATTCCTTCCATTATTCATTATTATGACAATCACTTATTATTATTTGACCGTTTCAATACTAAAGCTGTATTCATCATGATTCAGTGGACAGGTCTCAAATTTCTAGAAAATCTAATCTACAGAGTCGATTTCTTATTTAAAATAATAAAAAATGTTTTAGCCAAACAACCAATCCATCTAGCTTAAGATTCTTGAACTTTATAAAACAAACAGATAAATTTATGAAACAAAAACCATTATGAATTTGATTAGTTGTCCAAAATGGTTTAAATCGTTCACATTCAACATCAGCAAGTGCTACCGCTAAACGAATGTCATCCTCATTTTCTTTTGAAATATTATTGTTATTATGCAGCCCTTTCCGTTTCAATGGTGAAGACGTATATGTAGTCTGGAAAGCAAATAAAAATTTTCATTAATGTTCCAAAATTCAAGAATTTATATGCCAAAAAATTATTTTCTTTAACAAAAAATTCTACACTTTGTTTAAAAAAACACGACAAAAATAAACATACAGCTGTGTAAAAATTTTTTTTACAGCTCTATTTCAAATATCAAAGTTTGTTCCTACAAATGTGACACTTACAATGAAAAACTCTCTTTTTTCGATTTGAAACTGAGTCCATAAACGCCATTTTGCCAGCACTTTTCGCGCTATTCTTCTATGCCTTTTTTCAATAAAGGCATTTACTTTCTGTTCAGAAAACAGCTGAAATGAGATCCACTTAAGAAGCAGAGTACTTGTTAACTTCTGCAATCTTAATTCCTTGTTGATTGTTATAACACCTATTAAGATATGAATAAAAAAATTTTCCAATGCTCTAGAACTATACTACTGAAACGCGAAAATCTATCCAGTACTTTTAAATTCGAGACCAAAATCATACACATCTATAAAAATTTAGGCAACTAGAAGAAACAGATGGATAAAAAATTCTTACAGAGCTGTAATCGATAAACGCCTTATCTAAAGGATGACCACCTCGTCGACGAAAAATTAACCCAGATTTAGCTGAAATATGCTAGATGAATACAATAAGTCCTGTATATATATATATATATACTAGAAAAATCATTAACATAACATCGCTCTTTCAATATGGTTTACAAATTTCATATACTCTGAAAAATGAAGTTCAAATACGTTTTCGAAATGCACCTGGTAATATGACAGGAAATGATCCTAATAATTCCAGCTTTTCCCGCTCCTGTTCTTTTTTGTAAGCTATTTGTTCCCGCCACCGATCTACAAATTGTTTCAGCCATAACCTAAAATTTGTTCAAACTGCAGAACTTCAAAAAATGTGACATTTCATGCACATAATTACAAATCGAACAAACTATAAGTTTCATGAGTGGATGATCCAATATTAGTATTCCAGATGTACTGTGCAGACGACCAACAAAACTTACTTATTCAGTCGTTCATTTATATTCTTTAAACGTTTTTTCACGCAGTTTACATTTTCTTCCATCTCATTTTCTCCTATTTTCCTCACTGTTTCAAATACCACTTCTGTTACCAAGTCATGTAGGAAAATTCTTCCAATATCTGCTAAAAATTTTTCGTCCTGTATCCGCTGGTATTTTCTGGAAAATATATTAACGATAAGACAGAGGAATTTGCAAAACTATTTAAAAAGTTAAAAGAGAGATAAAAATTTGGAAGAAATTTCAGCAAATCCATAATTACTATTTGAACTACGTAGCAATATTTTGCTGGAAGCTTAATTAAATTTCTCTCATAAAATAAAAAACTTGAGGTAAAAATTTTCTAGTTCAGCAACCAATCAGGTAGAATTTGGGACATGCCACTCCTGTGTACCCAAAGTTTCAAAGAAAAAATTGGATCTGTAACAAAGTATATAATAATAGGACTAATTGAAACATACATTATCCATTTTTTACTGATATCGCATATAAATTGGTCGATAACTTCATGAAAAATTGATTCATTAAAAGAATCAAGCAAGGATCGAATTTCATCTTCTCTTTTCTTCGCTAGGTTAGCGGCTAGCCTGCGCCGATGTAATAGTTTAGCGGCAATCATTACCTCCTGACATCGTGGCCTGAAAATCCTCAAAATCAGAAGATTTTACTTAGTGCACAACATCAAATTTAATTTGGCATACTCATAAATTACTTCCTGAAATACCAAAACAACAAAAGTCAAACTAACTTCAAACAATCCTCCAAGATACTATCATACAGTGCAGTTGTCAGTGAATGAACCACTGATTTACTATAAGTTAGTTTGCACAACCTCGTAACTTCCTTTTCTATGATTTCATCTGCTAATTTATCCGCCAATATACTGACCTGAAAATGGCGATTTTACGCCATATATTAACAGGATTTTTCAAACTAAACAAATAATGTTAAAACATATTTTCTGCCGTCATGTTTGAGAGATTATTTTATATGAATTTAACAGAAGTATACAATTTCAGTTGTCAAAACATATCATTGGTTAAAATGCGATGATTAATACTATAAAATTTATAAAATCAAAAGGAAATAATACATATTGAACAAAAAAACTGAATATGAAATATTACATTATTTTCCTTTTGTGATGTTGGCAAAGTAAATGCAAAGGTTACAGTCTCATCTTCATCGATAGCTAATCTGCAAATGTTCATATATAGTAATCCTGAAGATATAAAACTTCGATATTAGTTTAGTGAAGAAAAAATTACAACAACTTTCAGCATGCTAACAAAGTCAAAAAAACGTCTTGGAATAAACAGCTCGTCCCTGATCCATCAATATAACATGCTTTTGCTGTTTATTTTAAATATCAGATGGAAACAATTTGCACTTTAAATTATCAAGAAATATGTAGTCTACTTAGATTCAAAAATTTCCAAAATATAATATTTAACGACTAAAAAAGCCGAAA